TGTACTATTATTGCCCTTGTACATCTTACATGGAAATCGTATGTGCTGATAGTGTGCAGACGTGGCGTCTACAAACGATTGCGTTCAGCCCATGTGGAACGTTGGCCTGTGCTGCCTCAGACTCATAATGCGGGTATCGTGATAGAAGAGAAACAACAAAGAAAGGAAAAGAGTTCAAGGAGAAGTTAAAGGAAACCATCGTCCGCACGCGAGTACTCGACTCGCACCCCGATCTCGTCTTAAAACGTCTTTTCATCCATGCCCAGCGCAATCCTTTCCCTCAAATCCACTTTCCAAGCTTCCTCACTGTTCTTCTCCAAGTATCCGATGAATAGCAGCGATGCGCAACCCAAAGTATACAGCCATAGGCAAGCACTAGGCAACTGTGGCGAAATCAAGCTCGTGACCTTGAGAATGAAGGCCACGTTGACATACAACGCTGCTGAGAAACATATCACGTATGATAAGTACTCATACACGACTTTGATCAAAACAGACGGGTTCGGTATCTTGATTTTGGCGAATTCTGGCAATGACGAGGAGGCTTTGGTGGTGTTCACGCCTAGCATGTCGCCTAGCATGGGAAAGGGCCGCATGCTGGTCCTGTCGATGAAGTTTGTCGACATTGTGAAAGAGTACGTGGTAGAATAGTAGCAATCGTGATCGTAGATGCGTTGGACTTGGATCGTTTGCGTGTAGTTGTGTCGTGGGCGGGTTTGTTGGCGGGGTACAAAGTGGCGTGGGGAGGGAGGGAGCGAGCGAAGATAAGTGTTTCTGTCGCAGACCAGCTCAATCACAGTGACGCAATGTGGAGGAAGAAGCGGTGGGTCTGTTCCCACTGCAATCGACGTAAATGAGTGTAGGTGGATGCCTCAGAGAGTGAAATATGAAGATCGGGTTGTGCCTGATTGGGGCTGTGCGAAGTTCAGCCTGTCTTCGGCCACGCTTGCGACGCTTGCTGACCGACGCTCTAGGCTAAGATAACGCCCACTTGGCGGCAATGCGTTTCAAAGCCGATCGTTTTCCGTAATCGTGGGGTGTCGTGAACTGCACACGGTTCTGTTTGTGGGTTCGAAGTGAACGTGTGAAGTTGGCTTTTCGGTGAAACCTTGGACACGTAACTGCGTACTTGTGGGCCTGCTTGCGTAACTTTGGACACAACAGTCGTCATGTCAGTGGAAACAGGGTACCAAGGGTTCCAAGTCTTTTTGTGCCACTAGGCTCGGATCACTGAGCCGAATTGCACATGTGAATAAACTGTGTGGAGAACGGTCGAGAACTTGTGGGGAAACTGGTATCTAATTTATTTTGAATGGAAGGAAAAGCGCTGGACGTAAGGTACACTGCATATAATCATGATAGAATTTCTATGAACGACATTGATCGTGGCCACCTATTGCATGAGCTTCACTCCAGGATGTACGTTTTCTGGCGTCTGTTTCGTGTACTCTATAGGCACTGTATCCCTCCAATCAAAGTGTCGGTCGGTCGGTCCTAGAGGCGGTGTTTTGGGCCTCTTTCCTATCCTCAACCAATTCCTGAAGGTGGCCATCCACTCGCCAAACCTGGTACTCATATTCTCAAGATACCTTGAGAAAGACGAAGTTCTGTCTCAGGCTACGGAGATGTTATTGTAGTTTTGATCGGAATCGCTGTAGTAAGTTGATGCAAGAGAAGTGTGGTACGTGGAAGTGAGAAGAAGCGCGGCAAAGAATGGGAACAAATCCTCAAAGTTCTCGTGAATCCAATCTTCCGAACTTTAGATTCAGTGCCAGCTATCTGGTGAAACATGTCTTGACGTATTCTTCACGAACGAGTGTGACTCTAGCGCATACCGGACAAGTGACAACACGGCGCGAAGAAGGAATTGTGACGGTATAGGGACTATATAGATTGTTTAGACAATATGTACTTCGTGTCTATGCGTCCTGAGATGGTTGTTCGTGGTTCGGCCCATTCTTTCTTTTCCGCTTCTCGAGAAAACTAGGCAGATACATTAATGCGACGTAGATCATCGGAACACCGACAAGAAATACGATACAGAGAACTACTGTAACGTCGCTGTCAGTGACCACCATTCTGACAATTTAAACGAAAAATTTAGGAATACAGGTGGATATTCGGAGGGGATAGAACTTGAACACTGAGATGGACCCTAGCCTTAGTAGAATGAGATGCTGATTCATATGCGCATTTCCCCCGCTTGTAATTCTTTAGCATTTTATCTGTTAGCTCCTTGTGTGCTGTCTAGGATGAAGTCATCGTAGAATGACATGTCCAAATGAAAACGCCGAACTCAGTTCGCCATTCAGTACTAATCTGCTTGCTAAGGCACTATGTTAAATATCGTAACAAGCTTTTATATCACGAGTTCGGGCTTAGAAGTACCATAGTACATAGTTAGACGTCTAACGCGCAGTCATACCCACAAACGCATTCGCCATATCTTTTAGTGACACGTCATCCCATCGCGTCAGCGAACCCTTGCAGTGTCCGGAAAATTAGGTTGCTCTCCGTCATCACCGCCGACTATCCCTCTCCTGTGCTCTTCCCGCATTGACATTGCATAATCACTCGCGTAAGGTGGCGGCGCCTCATTCAATCTAGGGGTTCTCCTCTGATACTCCTCCTGTAAGCGCTCCTGACGTAGACGTTCCTTGCGCTTCTCTCCCATCTTCATCGCATCGTTGCGTACACACCGTAAGATAGCGCCAATAGCAATCACGGTGATGACCACAGCCCATATAATAGCTTGTTTGATGTTGTCGGAAAGAGCGGGCGGATAGGTATTCGATGAGGTCGAATTCGAGGTAAGGTCCGAGGTTGGAGGCATGGTGCCAGACGGAGGGTGTTGTCGGAGGGGACTGGACTGGAGGGAGTCAGTGGGCTTGAACGTTGAACATTTATTGAGGGTAATTGCGTTAGGTATTTGCTGGTTGACGATCGAAAACCACAAGATTGTTTGAGCAAACGAATAGGGTTGAGAAGCAGAGAGTTTTCGGCTAAAGGGTTTAATCCGCCAGTTTTACATGTTATAGTGTTCTTAGAAACTGAGACTCTGCACTGATGTCCTTCATTCTCCTATATATCCGGCATGGCTCAGTCATGTTAAAAACTAGTCTAAGTTTGTTGTAAACGGACTGATGAGATGGCCCAAGTAATGACTCTGATAGTGTCTTAGCGCAGGATCAGAATCCTGGCAGGTTGTGCATGTTAAATATCGACTCAGGGTCTTAAATTAGGTCTGAAAAATGAAGAAAACTAGGCATCGAGCTGAAACGGACAAAGTTGAATGGAACGACGATTCTAGTGTCTAAAATGGTGATTAGAAGTGGTAAAGCGAGGATTCGCTTCTGAATCCTTGATTTAGCACACTATCCTCGTATATAGCGTTGCATCTGCACCATTCAGCCGTATTTCACGGGAGCCTTCAGGTCTCAGCCTTTCTCTACATTCCCTATACTTCTATCGTCCCTCATAGCGACCCAGCTCGTCAAGTTGCACACCACAATCTCTCCTGAAGCCGATGCGTATTGAATCAGCTCAACATGGCAGTCTGCAAATTCGAAGCGAATAGCGACATGTACGGGCTCGGTATCCGACTTGCATACTATCTGCAGTGGTACGGCATGATCCTCGCAAGCTGGATAGCTCCGTCTGAAGTCAAGAGCCTCGCTTTTTCCAACGACATCTTCGTTGCCGCAACTTTCCTGGCACTTATCATCGAGACCGCTGGCCATGTGGACCGGATACAACCTGTTGAGATATACATTGTTTTGCTCCTCACGTTCGGTGCATACATAGCTCTTGTACCAATATATCTCTAGCGCCTTTTGACTGTCGCTCTCTGAGACAATGTCCGAGAGGATACACACTGATGACATTTTGTATGACCTTTGCTGACTTGTATTTCCACCTACAGGTTTTCGTTCAAACGAGTGCCCGACCTAGACCACTACTACTGTCAACAGTATGGTTTTTTGTTTGCGCAAGTTCGACTTAATAGCAAAGTCTCCATCGTACTGAACGCGCTAATGTACTTCTGGGTTGGCCTAGTATGCCTCTACCTTCTTATCCTCAAAGTTCGATACATGCTTGGATTCCCCGGTCCTTCTGAAGGCCACAGCAGAATGCCCAGTCCCACTCACGAGCAGCGACACATCGCACTTTTGCGAAACCTCTATAACTAGATCAGAATTGTGATTGCTGTCATGATCAGAGTTGCAACTAAGCTCACTATATCGTGGAACGAGATCGAAGGGGCAATTACCCTGTCTGGAGCCGGCAATACTATCCCCCTGATCATTAGGATAGGGGCTGTCGTCAGGGTAGCTTATGTTGCGCTGTTCCATGATGAGAGTAATAGAAACCCTGTTCCGTCTGACCATCTAGCACTGCCCCTAGAACAATAGTGAGTGTACTAGAATGTATATCTGAAAAGTTTTCTAACAGTAATGGGGAAGGAGCACTCAAAACGACATGGCTTACATGCTACAGGCTGGTAGCATGCTTTATCGTAATTTCGGATTTTTGTTCGTAGATTATCTTGCAGTATCTGAAGTTCTCTTGTAATTTAGGTGAGGAGCGTCCTTATAAGCAGGGAATATGTCAGCGATGTGTGTTCCTGCGTTGTTGTTGAAGGCAGGTGCTTCTTACTGTACACAGCAGCGACTATCTAGTCTCTGTTAATGATTACGTCCTAGCGATTATTCTAGGTAGTCAGGTCTCATGTCCGTCTCAATTCTGCACTCTCAAATACTACTTCCGGGGTCCTACAGCTCACATGTGTTATCGCTTAAGAACGCGTCACGTGACCTTTTCCCACCGAAGATTTTTAGCAATGGACCCTAATTGTCCCCGCGGGTAAAACAACCCCACCACACAGCAAACTCTTCCTATTATTCTCTCCTCAGCTCCGGGATATATGCAATTTTCTACTATATAAATTTTGTAATTTCCAAAATGTTCAACTCATTGAAGTTAGCCTTCATCTCATTGAAGGCCGGGTGGCGCAATGGTAGCGCGCGGGCCTCCTAAGCCCGAGGTTGTGGGTTCGAGTCCCACCTCGGTCGCATTGTTTTTGTACTTTTTTTTTTCGTATTTTTATCTGCTACTAAGTTTTTTTAGTTTTTTTGCGACTGTGTGCCTTTTTGTCGTCTAATCGATTAATAGACGCTAGTTAGGTAGTTAGCTAGTTAGATTTCAAACCCCTGAAAAAGATACCGATGCCCTTCTAGGTACAATGCTATTCTTAAGGCTTTCCTAGTGTAGATTGCACTTTGTTGCGTTATTTAGTACATACGCCTAAAGCAGGAGCTGTGTGTTTTTATCTGTTAATAGACTAAGCTGCAACTTGTGCCGCACCGTGCACATTAAAACGTACAACCTTTTATCCTACGCTCCTTAATCGGCAATGCGAATAATAAAAAGGTTAAGGCCTAGGTTTATAGTTTGCAGCATCGTTGCCCTAGTAAAAGCTCTGAGTAACTCTGTGTTCAATACGATAAAGACGTCTAAGGACCGCACTCTATCTATGATTACATAATTAATAAGGATTCTAAATACTCTAATATTCTCCTCTTTAGTCCTTTACTAGAAGTCCTACAGGAATGTACTAGAAGGCTAGCTAGTTATGTAAAAGACAACAAAGTATGCAATATTCTAGGATAGTAGGCTAGTTGTAATAGTGTACTAGTTAGAGGTTGCAATATATTTAATAAGTCCTTAAGCTTTACTTAGGGCCTGTTTAGTACACTACTAGAAGTAGCTCTAGAAGTGCGCTAACACTAGAAGTATAACTTATAGCGTTAAATATTGTAAAGGAACTAACCCTAAGGGTAGATGTTATTTTAAAGATAAGATAAATTTAATAGAGTTTACAGGAAGTGCTATAAAGGGTTTATATACCAGTCCTAGGCTAGTTCTAGGTAGGTTCCTTAGTAGGCTTCTTTAGTAGACTTTAGCAGACTTCCTTAGCAGGCTCTAAGGGCTGTGCCTAAGGGTTACAGGGTCTATCCTCTTACATTACCCTCTTCCCTCTCCCTCCTCTTTTTTGTTTGTTGTAGGGGTTCCGTATACTATATGCCGCCTCTAGGTAGGTTCCTTTTCCCTAGCTGTTCCTTCTCCTCTATTTACTGCCTTTACTACCTATTGCGTGCTAACCTGATTTACTTACTAGTTCTCTAGGTAAGAGCTAGTTGCTCCCTAGGCGTTTAGTTTAGCAAACAGATTGCAGGGTCTAAGCTTATAGCTTGCCTATCTAGATAACCTGAATTCTACAACCTTCTTTCTTTACCCCCTATATAACTTCTATTTAACTCTATTACAGCCTCTATTTAAGCCTCTAGGATACCTCTAAAGGTCTTTAAGTACTATACCTCTTCCTCTAAGACCCTGCGCTAGCTGCGCTAGCTGCAGACGCTAGTTCACTAGCCTTAGATGCCTTTCTACTGTAGTAGTAAGGACGCTCTAACTAGGTTAGGTTCCTCTTATTAGGTTAAGCAGTCTAGTCCCGCGCCTCCTACAGCGCCTTCTACTCCTATCTAGGCTCTAGCTCCTATAGCTCTAGCTCCTGCAGCTCCTGCTACAGCTCCTGCGCTAGCGTCTAGTGCGTATACTCCTTAGTATACCTACCTAGGTCCTAGTTCCTAGTTCGCTCTGCGTTATCCTAAGTAGTACGGCTAGTATAATTAGTATAATAATCTGTATAGTTACTTTAGGACTCCTGTTAGTTGTCCTTCTTACCTAGGATATAGTTCTGTAGGTTCTTCCTTTCTTAGTACTTGCAGGTTATTATTATTAATATAATAGTAAAGCAGGAACCTCTAGATCTACGTTACTTCTCTACTAGTCCTATTAATTAATACATGCGCTACATAGATGCCTAGGATAAGAGGGCTTAGGCTTCTAGTAGAGAGTATTTCCCTAGGGAATCTAGGGCTAGTCTAGGGTTTTAGGATCCTTAAATCTTTAATCTGCGTCCTAGGTTAACCCTAGTTCCGCTAGCTCCTGCTCGTAGTGTTGCTCTAGCTATAGCTACCTAGGCATCCCTCTAGTTAATTCCTGCTCTAGCGATTTCTGTTGCCCCCCCCTAGGGGGGTTCTTCTAGCTAGCTTCCTGCTCGCCTATCTGCTAGGGCTTAATAGAAGGCTCTAGTTGTTTAGGCTGTAGCGTTATCTTTAAGGGCTTCTAGGAGTGCTGTTGCGTTGTCTTTAAGGGCTTCTAGGAGCATTCTAGCGCAGCAATCTATTAAAGAGGAACAGGTAGTTAACATTTAAGAGCTAACTTCTTCTCTAGAGCAAGAGGAGGAAGATAATAACAATAATACTATTAATGTTCTCCTACTATACTTACTGCCTTCCCTTGCCTATGCTTATAGTAAGGAATAATAGGTCTTCTGCATCGCTTGTATAGAAGGTCTTATTATTAGAGAAGAGAGCATATATAGTATTCCTGTTTAGTCCTATAAGACTGCTTGCGCAGCTTGTGCTTATAACTAAGTTGTATATCGTTCCTATAAGTATCTTCCTCTAGTTCCTCCTAGCTTCTACTAACTGTGTTCCCTAGGGCCCTAACTCTATTCTAAGGAGCTTGCGGCAATCCTTAAGGCCTATAAGGACAGAAATGCTAAGGAACTTAAGGAATTACTCTGTGTGTGCCTTCCTCTAATCAAGCGCTACTTAAAGGAGTTCCCTATAATAGATACTAGGAAGTATCCTAGTTTAGCAGCTTCTATAACGCCTCTAAATAAAATAGACTATTACAAGGCTTCCTTAGATACTGCTTAAGCTACTCTAGAGTCTATGCAGGCTATACAGGGGTTTCTTAAGTAAAACCTCCTTATAAAGTATAGAAAGGTAAGTACTTCCTTTCTTCCCTGTTCCTTTTACATAGCTAATCTCTATGTAGTTAGATAAATATAATGCCTATATTACTAGCTTAGGAAGCTGCCTAGATCGTGTTGTAGAGGAAGTCTAATTAGCTAACGTTACCCTTAGAAAGTATATTAATAATAATAGGTAGTTTGCTTAGGAGATTGTTAAGTTAGTAGGAGTTATTACAGAACAGGAGTTAAAGCGTTCTAGGGGTGAACTAGGAATTCATTAGGAGCCTTAACAGGAACCTGCTTAAGAGCTAACTGCTAAGGATTTACTTTAGGAGTTTACCTATAAGTTAGAGGGTTCTGCTAGTGTTTCTCTAGCTGCTACAGTATTAGTTCTACCTACTCCTGCTGCGCCTACTCCTTTAGTTACCCCTTGTCCTGCCTAGAAGCGTCTTCTAGCTAAGTCTCCTCCTAGAGACAGGTTAGATCGTGCAAAGCGCCGCGCTAAGGGTAAGAGTCCTGCTACTTAAGCCTTCCTCTTATAGGTTCTATTAGTGTCTAGTGCTAGGTTCCTTAGTAGAGTTCTATAGGCCTTATCTTGTCTAATAAGGGGTCTAATAGGGATCCCTCTACTTCTTCCCGCCTTGAATAGTCAAATAAAATAAATTAATTAGTATTCAGTTCTAAGAAAAATAATAAATTAGTCCTCTAACTCCTCTTACCTGCGCCCTTCCTTAGGCCTTAGTTTTTCCTTTCTTTTTCTAGCGTTTGCCTTGTTCTACTAGGGTTCCTTTCCTAAATCCTTCTAGGAGGTATCCTGTTAGGTCTTAGTAGGGTTTAGAGAACTGTAACTAGGTGTCTAGGGCTTCTAGTTCCTAGGCTGTTCCTTTATCTTCCTAGGTACACAGCGTATAGCCTTTCTATTTAATTAAGTACTCCTTCCTAGAACCCCTGCTATAGATCCTTAATTTTTCTCCTACAATCTCTTCTACTTTATACTCTAGTTCTTCAGCGCCTTCTACAACTAAGGCGGCTAGCTAGAAGTCCTTAATTACTTAACTTAGAAGTAGGTTAGAGCTCGCGAGTTTTAGCCTATTAGTGCTAAAGACGTTGTAGATTCCTCCTAGAGTATTTAAACGAATGGCGGACGGGGATATTACTTCTGTAACTATGAATTTTCCGTTTTTCTAGTTAAGCTTTTTGCTAGGTTAGGAATTAGCTATTTGTTTCCTATACTTTAACTAAACCTTGTCCTCTATACAGAGTAAGGGAGCTTCCTAACAGTGCACGTTAGCGTACTTTTCCTACTAGAGCTAGGCTTCTGCTATAGCTAACTGCGCGAAAGCTATAGTGTTCTTATACTTTTCTATTATAGCTAAAGCAGATTTATTAGGTTTATTAATAATCTGGTGTTTCTCTAGTACCGTTGCGTTGAAATCCTATTAGACTAGATCCACGTCGTATCTGTGCTAGAGGAAGAATAGACTAACCTTAGTTAACTTAGCTGTCCTTCTGTTTACCGCGATCTAGACAATTAGCACTAATTTAGCTTAATTAGACTAATCCTAGTTGCAAAGAGCTTAGAACATTGCTTTAATTATTAAGTTTATGCGTTCTGTAGATCTATTAGTTTCTAGGTAGAAGGCTGTTAAGAGGGACCTAGTAATGTTAAGACGCTAGGTTAGGGTCTTCTAGAATTTATCTAGGAACTAGCTTCCCCTGTTAGTTACTATAAAGTCTAGGAGCTAGTAGTAAGCTACAACATGCTTAATAAATGCGTTAACTAGTGTTAGTATAGACAGGTCTAGAAGAGCTACGAGTATAACTCCCTTGCCTAGTTAATTAACTACTACTAGGAGGTTCCTACAACCCTAGCTTTTAGGAAGGCTAGTAATAAAATCTATAGCAATCTCCTTCTATAACCGATCTAGGAGCGGCAGCGGCTTTAGGAGACCTTGTTTAAGCTCTCTCTATAGTTTAGTCCTTTTGTAGATGTCGCAGTTCTGTACAAACTTTTGTATATCTAAGCTTATGTTAGGCTAAAATACGTTCTAGGTAAGAATTAAGTACGTATTTTCCTATCTAGGATAGCCTGCAATAGAGTTGTTGTAGGTTTTAGCAATTATCTGTGTTTGTAAGGGTTCTAAGGCGGGAACCCATTTCCTCCCCCTGTAATAGATAAACCTATCGTCCCTTACTAAGCATTTAGAAAGCTATATCTTTAGGTTTAGCTGCAGAGGGAACTTCTAT